AAGAGCCTACTCCATGCCTATATAACCAATGCTCCCCTCTGGTCATTCTATACAACAGTCACTCTTTCTACACAAAAGTACTTGATTGTGTAATGCTTTGCACAGTACATGGATGGGGAGGGGAGAAGAGAAGGAGGCTGTTATTGTAGTTTAAGTTCTCACTACTCTTTTGTTCTGTCCAAGAACAACATTTATCTTTCAATTCCTCTCACTCCTCTCTAAATCATCCTAATCACCCAACAGCTGGGACAGAATAACCCATATACACTCTCAAACCATTGACTAAACTAATAATGAATATTTACATAGTGCTTTAAAGTGTACAAAGTACTTTACATATTGAATTCTCACAACAACTCTTTTGAAGTAGGTAGGTGCTCTCATGGTCGCCGTTTTACAGATGAGAAAACCAAGAATGAGAGAAGTGAGACTTGTCCAGGGTCTTACAGGTAATAAGCGCCTGAGGCTGGATTTTAACTCAATATCTTCCTGACTCCAAATGCCGCTTGATATCCTTGTAGCTACCGACTTTGAAACCAAAGATAGTACACCAAATAATCCAGGGGGCACTTGTCCCTCAGGCTGTGGAAATGACAAGGCACAGAATATTGGGCTCTGGAAAAAGCACATGTTCACCTAGCTATACGCACCCTCCCAGGTGCAGACATAAATACCAACTGATTGCCAACACCTGCCTTGGGAATTCTGCTTCCTCTAAGAGAGGCCTATACAATCTGTGACCTTTGGCTGTTTGCTGCATCCAAAGGATTTCGGGTTGCGGAAAAATGTAGAGGAAAACATCCTTTGTATGTAGAGGAAGTCCTTTGATGAGCCACAGGCCTCCCCTAGGCCAAAGGTTGTGCAGGCCTGCTCTAAGACAAAATGGAGACATAACAAGGAGGACCTCAAAAGGAGTTTCCAAGGTTAAATTCAATCCTGCAAAAGGTGAACTTAAACCCCCCCCCCCCAAAAAAAGCAGTAGGGAAGGATAAATCTGGAGACAAAAAATCTAAAAGAGAGCAAAAAACAAACCAAGAAAACAAAAATGATTTGCCTGCTAAAAATGGAGAAAAGTAAAAAATAAAAAGGATCCAGGTCCTGATTCAATAAGAGAGGGGAAAATAAAAGGCAAATCTGAATGAAGTCGTACACCAAGTCTTAATTTCTGTGGTCTTTTATTTAGTATATGTAGATTTGACCATGTCATTCCCCCTATTCAATAAACTAGAATGAAATATAAACTCTAGAACAAGTCTCTAGGATGAAATATAAACTCTTCTGTTTGGCTTTCAAAGCCTTTGAAAACCTAACCCAAACCTACCTTTCTAGCTTCATTATACTTTACACCTCTTCCCCTGCTTTTTATGATCTAGAACCAAACTGATGGTCTTGGTGTTCCTCACACAAAATATTTTATCTCCTCTCTTTTCACAACTGGTCATCCCACGTACCTGACACACACTATCTTCTTATCTCTGCCTCATAGAATCATTTACTTCCTTTAAGACTCATCTCAAGTGCTACCTTCCGCATGAAGCCTTCCCTGATGCAACAGCTAATGCCTTCCTTCCCTCCCTATACTTGCTGGTATGAATTTCTAAATACATATATGCATACGTGTTGTCCTCCCAATAGAAGGTAAACTCCTTGAGGGCAAGAACAGTTTCATTTTTGTGTGTGGATGCCCATTGCCTAATAGTGCTTGGCATATAGTGGGTCTTTAATATATGTTTGTTGACTTATTGACTTACTCATCTATGTTACTTCCCTTTCTGTACAATTAAGAGAAATATTTTTAATAAAAATTTTATAAATGCAATTGTTTTGATAATTATAGAAATATAATTTTAAGAAGGATGCAATCCCATCTCATCCTTCCTCCTTTTAAAATATGTTTACATAAATGTAATTTCTTTTTCAATGGGGAGAAATCAGACACTGGTTATTTATTGTTTTATATAACCAGAAATTAATGGCACATCCATTAAGGGAAGCTTTGCAATTGACTTGACATTCCATAAATAGTTTTTATATTATACTAAATGAAAAAGACATAGATTGCAATTTAGAGTCACGAGCATGAATTTTAAATGTCTTAACATTTTAAATACCTCTTCTCTGTGCCCATCTTGTCTTTTGGTAGAAGAGTTTTCTAAATAAAACCAGCCCCTGCTGTTGAAACTTCCTCAGAATTATGTGTTCACTTTAACTTGTTTGTGATAGTGGTAGTCCAGCTCTTTTCTAAGAAAAATAACTGACATTTAAATATTACTTTAAAGTTTGCACTTTTATGCATTATCAATTAATTAATTCACAAGCATTTACTACTATGTGTCAGGAAGTATGCTAAGGAGCAGGGAAGACAAAAGGAAGGCAGAAACCAGTCCTTACCCTCAAGGAGCTCACAGTCTAAAACAAAACAAACAACTATGTACAAACAAGATATATATACAGGATAAATTGGAGATAATTAGCAGAGAGAAGGCATTAGAATTAAGAAGGATTGGGAAAGGTTTCCTATATATGGAGGGATTTTAGTTGAGACTTGATGGAATCCAAGAGGCAGAGATGAGGAGGGAGAACATTTCAGGCATGAGAGACAGACAACCTGTGAAAATGCCCAGAGTCAAGATATGGAGTGTTGTGTTTGAGGAATAGCAGAGGAAATTTTTCATCAAAAGACTATGTGGGGGGAATAAGATGTAAAAAACTGAAAAGGTAAGAGAGGTTGGGGGTCAGGTTATGAAAGGCTTTAAAATCCAAACAGAACACTTTATATTTGATCTTGGAGGTGAAAGGGAACCATTGGAGTTTATTGAATAGGAAGGAGGAGATGACATGGTGAAACCTGCACTTTAGGAAGATCAATTTGACAGCTGAGTGTAGGATAGACTGAGGTGGGGAGAGATTTGTAGCAGGGAGACTAACCAGAAGGCTATTGCAATAGTCTAGGCATAAGGTGACGAGGGTGAACCAGGGTGGTGGCAGTGTCAGAAGAGAGAAGGCAACAAGAGATATGAAGGTAGAATGGACACGATTTGGCAACTGAGTGTATACAGGAAGTGGCTGAGTCAAGGATGACACCCAGGTTGTTAGCCTGCTTGTGTCTTTGAAAGTAATTGGGATGTTAGGAAGAGGAGAGGGCTTGAGGGGGAAAGATAATGAGTTTAGTTTTGGACAAGTTGAATTTAAGATGTCTGCAAACAACTAGCTGAGATGTTCAATAGGCAGAGATGCAAGACTAAAAAGAGAGAGATAGGGCTAGATCTGATAATCATTAGCATAGGGTTAATAATTGAATCCATGGGAGTTGATGAGATCATCAAATGAAATAGGATAGAGGGAGAAGGGAAAAGGGCCCAGGACAGAGCCCTTTGGGACACCCACGGTTAGCAAGCGTGACCTAGACTCAAGGGTGGGGAACCTGAGGCTTCAGGCCACATGTGGCCCTCTAGGTCCTCAAGTGCAGCCCTTTGACTGAATCCAAACTTCACAGAATAAATCCCCTTAGTAAAAGGATTTGTTCTGTAAAACTTGGACTCAGTCAAAAGGCTGCACCCAAAGACCTAGAAGGCCACATGTGTCCTCGAGGCCACAGGTTCCCTACTCCTGATCCTAGGTGAAGATCTAAAGGAGACTGAGAAGGAGCAGTCAGACAGGCAGGAGGAGAACCAGGACAGAGCAGTGTCACAAAAACCTAGGCAGAAGAGAATATGAAGGAGATCTCATTTGAGTTTCAAAGAAGCTTTGTGAGAATGAGGAAATTAAACCCAAAGAGTTAAGTGATCTGTGCACTTAGAGCCTGTAAGGGTTTGGATCTGAACCTTAGTCTTCCTCCATCTGAATTCAGCACTCTATCTACAATTCAATACTGCCTTACCTTGTAGCACTTTACAATTTAGGAAAGATCTAGAATGGAGATTAAAAGTTGGAAGAGAACTCACATAGTCCAAACCCCACATTTTACAGATGATGAAACTGGGGTACAGGTTTTAGTCACTTGCCTAAGATCATGCACCTAGTAAATAGAACTGTGATTCACGCTCTGGTTCTTTTACTCCAAATCAATCCCTGTTTATGCTAAATTATGGTACATCATCCTGACCCCAAGTCTACCATGCCAGATCATCTCTGCTGATATTCACAAAAATCTGGGAAACATTATCTTGTGTGGAGAGAACTTGATTTTACTTAATACAAAATTAGTGGCACTTTCTTTGTAGAAGACCTAACAGCTTATCTATATTTAAGATTCTGGTACTTGCTGTCCTTTTTTTATTTCTTTCTTTTTTTTTTTAAGGATTAATTGCCTCTAAATTAATTGCCTCTTGAATAACAGTTTGAAAGAGGAATACATCTGCATGGTTTTTAGATTTTTCATATTATGACTGGACGTATAAATTGTCTGTGTACAACCAAACCAAAGAAATAAAATCTTTGTTAAAAAATAAAAATAAAGTAAGTGGTCCAGGGGCTGAGAAGAAGAAAGATATATGTATGATACCTTCCTTTCCTCCTATATTCATAGCATTTCTTTTCATCTGTTAATTCCCTATAGAGAAACTATATATTAGCTTTGTTTTTGTCTATAGCTCCTGCAGATTAGTAACATGATTTTTAGTAATGTTCTCAGTAAAATAAAACTCCATTAAAATAATTTGATTTTATATGGCATTTGTTGTGACAGAGTTTGACTAGCATATGGATTGAAGTCTTGTGAATTCTTAGAATATTGGACATACCGATATTTATTCACAAGTTAGAACAAAAGCATACTCCAAAAAAGACAGAAAACGAATGCTTGAATGATTTGTGACTTTGCTTAGCCTCTATTGATGCAAATAATTGGAAATCAGTTATATTTGTAATTATTTGCTGTTTTGTATTTTTTATGCTCTCGCTGCTCACTTTCTTCATTGGTTCAACTATTAGAAGAAGAATGAAAAAAAGAAAGTATTAGCTACCAAAATTATAGCATTTAATTTCAAATAATGCCTGACCTTCCACCTTCAGCTCCATTGCTGCCTCTTCTTGGTATGAGTGATCTCGGAAGAAGCAGGTGTATCCTCCCTCATCAGAGAATCTCACATGCTGGATCTTTAGGGTGACCTTCCCTTCTCCTATGGCCTCTTTCATCAATATTGTTCGCCCCCGGTACTCAGGTGCCTGCTCTCCATCTTGATCTTTCCCATTTCGGTAGAGGTGAACCACTCGAGAAAAGGGAGGCCGATACCAGCCCACCTCCATTCCTGTAGCATTCTTAGCAGGTGAAAGGCGGCATGGCAACTCAGTCTCATCCCCTACCAAGGCCCGGATTGGGTGAGCTGGTCCTGTCACTGTGAATTGTCCTGTTCAGTGCATCAAGAAGATGAAATTAAGGATCAGAGGAAAACCTCAGCATGGAAGCATATGCAGCTGGTGTAGTCAGGGGAAGAAGGAGGTGCTAAATTGCCAGACAGAATCTAAGATCTAGAAAGGGACATCAAGCTTCTACTTTTTATCTATGTATCTATGTATCTATCTAATTTCCAAGGGTGAAGATGCCTTGTGCTCTCTTGGCATTCAATTGCTTTGACTGTTTCAGAAACTAGAGTGTTTTTGTTGTTGTTGCTGTTGTTTTTTTTTTTTTTTTTTGCTTTCCTTGTACAATTCAAGCTCCTTAGCCTTAAAGAGTCCTTTACCAACTTCTCTCTCCCACCAAACAGCTCTTATCTTGATTCGCCAGCTCAGCCTCTCTACTCTAGATTATCCAATCTGTTCCTCTTTCGTGCCCCATTTCAATCTCTGAGGCTTTGCTCATATAATCCTGCCCATCTTAGATACCCTCCTCTGTTAACTTATGTCCCCCTTCTCCTTCCAAACACATTTCAACATTTCTGTGCAGGAAGACATCCTACTTTATTCCCATTCTGGTCTCTACTCTGCATCTCATATCAGATTCACTATATTATTTGACATTTTGATATATGTTAATTTATGATTGATTACTTATAAATCCTTTTACAGGTTTGTAATATTTGTCCTCAGTTAGATGGTAAGCTTCCTAAAGGTAAAAATTGTGTGTATTGGACTAGGAGATTAACAAGGGAGGTGATCCTCTTCCATTAGACTTGGGGGTCAGGGACTCTGTCTTATTCTTTTTTATCTCTCTATGATGTCTAAGAAAGGGTTTTGCTTTAAAAAAGAAGCAACTAGTTGACTAGTTGATCAACTAGTAGAATGGAACGTTAGCTCTCAAACATGATGTAGAAGTTGACCTCTTATACCTAGAGTTCTCCTTGGAGAGGAAGAAGGAGCAGACATTTCTTACCTGAGTAGCTGGAAGGAAGTTGGAGAAGGAGGAGGAAGAAGGAAATGAGGTAGGCAGGCAAAGAGGATCCTGGCAAATTCCACATCTCCACTGACACCAGAAACAGAGAACTATGATATAGGGAACTAAAAAGGTACAGAGTCTCAGACACATGTCCCTTCTGCCCACTGAAAGACCCTGAAGGGATGCTTTTAGAAGGCAACTTCAATTGCCCCCACCCCCTCCTTCCCACACTGCAGCTGTGCCTGTGGGATTGGTCCCACATTACCCTAGAGCCAACACAAAAGAGCTACAGAAAGGAGGGAAGATGAGTGCTTTCTCCTCCTCCCCATCAAAGGAATGGAGCAGACACTGCCTGGTACTGGGCCTTCTGACTGTTGTCAGTTGCCTGGACAGCTACTCTGCCAGATGAAATTTCTCTTCTCCCCTACCTTCCTCCCTCTGGCCTGCTTAGGATGCTGTGAAGGTCCGATAAACAATTAGCTGGGAATCCCTACTGGATTTGGCAAAGGTTTTCTATAACCTACAGAAGCTAAAAAGGTCATCTTATTCGTAATATCTCAGTAAATTACATCATTCAAAGTCTAAAGTCTAAATTTCTCTTTCTGTCTTGTTAGGTGAGGTAGATGGTGAAGGGAGGGAAGGAAGTGTATTGTGGGAGGCATTGGTGTGTGTCTGTGCTGGAGTCAGCTTCTACTGGCTCCGGGAGGATGATTGTTAAAGTTGCATCACAGGTATTTATATCTCAGAAATCAGGAGCACAGACTGTGCTAAAAATCAAGACTTGATTTATTGTTTTGTTGATTATCTAGACTTAAAAAAATGATGGAGAAAATGTTAATAATGTAGATTAAATTTAAAAGTGTTTTGTGTATGTATGTCTGAGAGCTGATCATTAAACACTTACCTGCATGCCCCTACTGGGAGATCTGTTAATATGCACACTTTTTGGAATTGTCCACTGGCAATGAGAGTGGGGTGGGGGGCGGGGGGGTTGGAGTAGCAGATTTCCAAATAAAAAATGGCAGAAAACTTTGGGACTTATGTTTCTCATTTCTTTAGAGATCCCAGGAAGCATGTTGCTTATTCTCTGCTTACTTCATTTTCTCTATTCCCTTTCCCTTGTCTTTTCACATCCTGTGGCTATAGAGGGTCAGCTCTACACCTACATTGTGTGATTTGAAGGGCTCTGAGAAGGCCTTGTTGCTCCCAAAACTCTCTTCCATTTAGGTGCTACTGCGTCTGAAATTCCACCATTAAGGATTTATTTTTTAGAGTCTCTTCCTGTCATCCCCTTTTAAGATGCAAAGATTGTAGTGAGGTATAACACATGGAGCTAATTCATGGTAAGGTGGTAGTAACTTTTCACATCCACTCCCTTCCTGACTTGGAGGTAACTTGAAAGTCCAGGCAGCTTGAGATTGTCTGGGGGGAATTATAGTGTGTACAGTTAAGTGGAGGAGAGTCTGAAAGGGCCTGTGGGGGAGGGGAGAAGGACATAGAAGGCATGTTAAGGAACTGCACAGACAAACCTAGTTCTGTCTCCTAAAAGCTAAGCTAATTTTAATTAATGTAACAGAATAAATCACAACAACCAGGATAGATTTCCTCCCCACCTTCCCCCCTCCCATCATTTCACATCTTAATAACAACAGTTCACATTTCTATAGCACTTTATGTGTTTTCCTCACAACCTCTCAGTGAGTTAGGTAATATCAATATTATTATCCCTATTTTGCATATAGGACACTGAGACTCATTGCACTGAAGGAACCACAGATGGCAAAGCTCTTCCTACTATACCATATTGCCTCTCAAGAATCTACAATAGCTCCCTTTTGTCCATTAGGCTCCAAGCAAACTCCTCAGCCAATGGTACTCTCTTCCATTTCTATAATACTTTATAGTACGCAAAGTGCTTTCTTCACAATAACCCTTTGAGAGAAGTAATATGAGTATTATTGTTCCTACTTTACAGATGGAGTAAATTGGGATTCAGAGAATGGAAGGGATTTGCTTAAGACCATAGAACTAATAATATGTTAGATTAAGCATTGGAATCCAGGTCTTTCAATTCCCAGTCTAGCTCTTTTCCTCAAATTCCCTGCTACCTATCAAGATCCCTCTACCAAGTGGCCCTTCCCATAGTCTTCTGCTCATCTCTTACTATTCCTTAATATCACCCCTCCATTTCAGCCAAGCTAACACCATGCCTCATCACTTACAATGCATGCCCTCCTCTTCATCAATACCTGTGTCTTATTTCCTTCAAGGCTGCCTTGAGATTCAACTGTTCGAGAAAACCTTCCCAGATTAAGCCCATTATATTCTGATCACTACTTTAGTTTTCATATTTCTTAGCACCTGTATACTCATTTTGTACTTTATTACTTTGTACTTGTTTGATGTATTTTTGCTTGACTATACTATTTTTATACTTGTTTACATACTATTTTGTACTTCTCAAGTTACTGGAGTAAAGTATTTATACCTGTGTATTTAGTCCCCTTAATACATTGTGAGTTCTTTCAATAATTCATTCTCTTGATATTCATTAGATTGTGAGCTTCTTGAGGGCAGGGACTGTCTTTTGCCTACTGTTCTATCCCCAGTGCTTAGCACAGTACCTGGCACATAGCAGGAACTTAAGAATTGCTTATTGGCTGACCAGTAACATCTTAAATAAAACTTAGGGTGAATGGGAATAAAGGATCCCTTCTGGAAAGATGTTGAATGTACAAAGTAGATCAGGGATAGGACAGCTGTTTATTTCCTGGACCACATGAGATGTTTACACACAGAAGACTCATAAACGCCCAGTGACGAGTACTTAAAGCACAATACAAGTACTGTAGATTTTCATTCTGTTCTTTTTAGTCCAAGACCATTCTCCTTTGAAGAGAAATAATAAACAGAATAAACTGAACATTTTTGCCTTCTCTCAGTCTCCATTTATCCAGTCTTGTGTTCTCCAGGCCCCAGATCATTTGGCAAGCCCCATGGCCACCACCCGCAAACGAGTGTAGATGAAGATTTTCTCTCTCCTATCCCTCAACGCTCTGTCATGCTAGCCATATAGGCTGGAGCACAGTCCGTTGGAAGAACTGGACAGAACCTCAGTCCCCTGTTACCAGATTGACAACAGCTGAAATCCAGCTGTGTATGACTCCCTTGTAGTGGATGGAGCCATGGATAAACCAGGCAAAATGGCATTCCTCAGAAACCATGTCTTTATAGTTGGGGGATCATTGGGCTAGTGGAGGACGCAGGCTTCTAAGGCCTGAACTGAAGGTCGTTGAGTAATATATTTCTGGCATACTCATCACTTGTTTGTGAAGGACATTAACACAAGAGGGACCCAGGGAATCATGATTCTAAATGTACCAATTCCATTTAGCATAGAAGCCTCCTGTGCCTTACCCATATTGTTAGAGAGATTGTCTTGTATCACCCAACTCTGGGTGAGCAACTCTGGACAAAGGGTGATTGTATGATCTGCTTCATCTGTTCAGTAGTGACTTGGGCCTGATAACAGCTGAGCAATTGATTTTTAGAGGACATACAGTGAGTGGCCACTTGGGGGAACTGGCACCTCCAGAAGCCTACTGTTCACTTATTCTGGTCAACCTTGGTGCCTGCCAAAGTCCCCACTCAGCCTGGCTTCTTAAAAGACAAGTTTTTATTAATGTCTCATTTTTTAATATCATCATAATTTCCCCCAATATTTTTCCCCCTCCCAGACAGCTTTCCCTTATAACAAATAGTATTTTTTAAACAAAACAAAACAAACGAAAAAAGAAAGAAAGAAAAGGAAGAGGAAAAAAAATCAGGCTTGGGTGGGGCTGAAGGGCCCTTTCTGCCATGATGCTGCATTTTCCTGTAGAGTATTACCAGCATCCTCATGAGCTGGCCATCAGTTGATTTCTTATCCATTGGAAGCCACATCCAAGGCTCCCCTCTGGGAGAGGGTGTTATCACTTTCTGCCCACCTACTAGTGTGGTGGCTTCTGTGACTCTTTCAATTTCTGGAGCATGTATTTATGTCAATAGCAGTGTTTGAAGCCACATCTGTCCTTACCTCCTACTCAGATTTCACTATATTGGTTAGCACATTACTGTATAGTTGTGTGACAGCGGGAGACTCATAACTAAAATCTGAAGCCATTCTTGTGGGGTTCCACCCAAAAGGTGGGATCTAATTGCCCCTAAGTCAAGTTGTGTCCATCTCTTCATGACTCCATTTGGAGTTTTCTTAGCAAAGCTATTGGAGTGGTTTGCTATTTCCTCTAGCTCATTTTACAGATGAGGAAAATGAGGCAAATGGAGTTAAGTGACTTGCCCAGGTTCACACAGCTAGTAAGTGTCTGGGGCCAGATTTGAACTCAGGAAGATGAGGCTTCCTGACTCCAGGCCTAGTACTCTGTCTACTGCATCACTTAGCTGCCCATAATAATAGCTAGCTTTAAGATTTACAAAGCACTGTACATATGCTATGTCATTTGACCCTCATAACAACCCTGTGTGTTATCCCCATTTACAGATGTGAAAATTGCAGCTGATAGAAATTGTGTCAGGCTCAGAGTCACTCAGGGTAGAAGTTAAATTCAGGTCTTCCTGATTCCAAGTTCAACAATTTTTCCACTTCACCATCTAATTGCCCCTCTTTAATCTTCTTGTGCGGCCATCCTACTTCCTCCATAATGACCCCTCCCTCCCCCCTTCCCTTAGTGGTGGAAATCACTCTCCTCCCAGAAGTAATAATAAAAAAAAGTCTGGGGTTTCTCCCTCCTTCTCCACTGGTGAGAGTTCCCAAGTTTCTTCCTCATTTACGCTCTCATTCTCCTCTCTAAAGGCTCAGCAGGATGCAGTGAAACCTTTGGGTCAGAGACCATATTATGGGGACCTGCCTATTGCCTGTCACTCTCCATCTCCATCTAGAGAAATCCCTTCATTTTCACTGTTACCAATTCCATTAGCCATCCCTTGTCCTTCATTGCCAGGTGCATAAAATCAAGAGCTCTGTCTCTCATTGTTGAACATGCTGGGCCAGTTTACTTTCAGTATTATGCTGTCAGTATGACTTCT